ATTAAACCTCCATTAAACCAAAGAAAATGGTTTGACTTTAATTACCATTAATGTTATTAAAGATTTTATTCTTAACAAATATTTTGACTATTTTGCAGACAGCAGAGTATAGTGAAATAGGTTTCAGTTTTCAGCAAGTAATCTTCCGTTTATTTATGGACTGAACTGAAGTTTGGTAATTTCCAAAGAGGGAGTAGTATTCCAAAATTAAATTTGTGAAAGATTTTTGTAAATGCAAAAAATATTTATACGGGTTTAGATTGCTTAGTTCATAATGTCTGAAATAGAAAAACCCAAATTGTCATTATAAGTTCATTCAAGGTTAATGTCACTTTTTTAATGATGAAAATTTTTCAGAGGGATTTTAATATTATTTCATTTTAACATGCTCTTTTTGCTTTAAATATTTCAGCTTTTACAGAATAAATATAGCAGTTTATTTTAAGTTCATTATTTTTCCATTTAGTTGAGCAAATGATATACCAAGCGGATTTTTTATCTTGGATTAGGTTTTTAATATGTGGAGTAAAGCAAAGACCATTACTTTTTTGTTGTTTTGTTAGGCGATTTCAAGGAAACAAATTTTTTTTTTTTTTTTTTTTAACATCTTCACTTCCAACAAGGCTGCAAGCAACCACTATAAGAGTTGGAAGTTACTGGAAGAGAAAAGACTAAATCTGTAGAGCAAGATAACGATTGACAGACGACTTAAAAGATTGCAAATTATATGAATCAGGAAAGCAAGATGAAGGAAGCGAATTCCAAAGAACTGATGTTCGAGGAAAAAAACTAGAAGAATAAGAGTTTTTGAAGCACTTAGGAACAGTCACAGAAAAAGGATGAGACTTAATTGAATGGCGAGTAACACGAGAATGAATTTTAGTAGATGGCACAAGGGACGCTAGCTCTTTAGAGCAGTGCCCATTATAGTATTTGTAGAAAAGAGAAAGAGAAGCAACATTACGACGAAGTGACAAAGGTTGGAGATTGGCTGCCAGAGCAGGTCCAACTATGTTTACAATCCGTTTTTGCACCTTGTCTAAAAGAGAAAGAGCATCATTAGAAGATCCGCCCCAGATGTGGCAACAGTATTCCATACAGGGACGGATTTGAGATTTATAGAGATAGAGAATAGAATCTGGAGTAAGAAAGTGTCGAGCTCGATAAAGAGATGCAACCTTAGCAGATGCTAATTTTGCAATGGATTTGATATACGGTTTAAAAGAAAGATCAGAAGTAAGAGTTAATCCTAGAAGATGAATGGTAGATGACTCATCTAGTACATTACCATTCATAAATATAGGAAGATCTAAATTATTACGATAACGATTGGCCGAATAAAATTGAGTTTTATCTGAATTAAAGTTCACCAGCCACTGTGAGCCCCATGCTGTAGCAGAAGTGAGATCCTTTTCAAGCTCAGATACCCCCTCCAAGCAATCAGAGAGTGTAGGCTTCTTATCATGACAAGAGTAAATGGTAGTGTCGTCAGCGAATAATGCCACCTTAGATGTGAGAATATCTGGAAGATCGTTAATGTAAATTAAAAAGAGTATAGGGCCAAGGATTGAACCTTGAGGAACCCCTGAAGTTACAGGATGTGAAGAAGAGTGTTGTCCATCGAGGACAACTTTTATACTACGATTGGAAAGAAAGGACTCAATAATCTTAAAGACGTTACCAGCTACACCATAAGAAGAAAGCTTATGGAGAAGACCAGCATGCCAAACTTTATCAAAAGCTTTAGAAATGTCAAGTGCGATAGCCTTAACCTCTCCACCTTTATCTAATGCACGGTAAAACCTATCGGTTATTACTGTTAGCACATCAGCTGTAGAACGAGAAGACCGAAATCCATATTGATGATCAGAAAGTAAGTTATTTGATTCAAGATGAGAGATTAAGTATTTGTTGATTAAAGATTCAAAAACCTTGCTTATGACAGGAAGGAGACTAATGGGACGGTAGTTAGATGAATCAGATCGCTCTCCGGAATTTTTGAAAATAGGGATAACAGATGCTGCTTTCCAGCATGATGGAAAACAAGACTCTGATAAGCACTTGTTAAATAGTTTAGAAAGTATGGATGAAAGCTCCGGAGAACACCTCTGCAAGACTACAACAGGAATGTTGTCAGGACCACAAGCTGTTGAAGAGTCTAAGCAGGAAATTACTTTAGATACAGAAGCTGAAGTGATGCGAATGTCAAGCAAGGGATAAACCTGTTTGACGGCTATGTCAGGTAAAACGCAACTGGTGGAATCAAGAGATGATATTGATGAAAAGTTCTTAGCAAACAATTCAGCTTTGTCTTTAGGTGAGGTGACAAAGTCTGAACCATACAAGAGAGAAGGAATAACAGATTTGCCCTTATTATTGATACTGTTAAAGATTCTCCAGAAGTCTCGAGAGCCTAATTTTTGTGATGAGATACGAGATTTAATGACCTGAGAATAGCGAGCTTTGGCGTCAGACAAAACCTTTTTACAATGGTTTCTGGCGATAGTGAACAGATGCCTGTTTTCTGGAGAATTGTTTTGCTGATAGATATGGAAGTAACGGTTTCGATTAGAAATTGCTGCAGCGCAATGTGAGGAAAACCAAGGAGAAGAGTGAGGCTTGACCTGGAATCGTCGAGAGGGAATAAAAGATTCCATGCCAGCCTGAATCCACGAAGTTATGTAAGAAGCACATTTGTCAGCAGGAAGACGAAAGATTTCTACCCAAGGGCCATCACGAAGAAAATCACGGAAAGAGTCCCAGTCAGCTTTAAGGTAGTTGTATGTGGTACGATGATAGGGGGATTCTGATGAAGTAGAAGAATTTGATAATAGTTTTAGAGAGATCAAACCGTGATCAGAAGTACCTAAGGGTGAATGTGGAGAAATTGAGCACTGACTAGGATCCAAAACAAGACATAAGTCGAGTAGAGAAGGTAAATGATTAGGGTTGTCTGGAAAACGAGTTGGAAAGTTGACTATTTGAGTTAGAGATTGAGAAAGGCAAAAGTTGAGGGCCTTAACGCCAGCAGAGTCACTGACACTAGAGCCAAGCCAATCGGTGTGATGGGCATTAAAGTCACCAACAACGACGATATTGGCCGATGGATAAAGAGAGAGGGCTTGGTCAATTTGATCAGAAATAACATCAAAAATAGTGCAATCTTGGGATGAAGGAGAGCGATATAGAACAAAGAGAAAGGCGATAGAGTGAAGTTGTGCTAAACGAAAGCACATAAATGAATAGTCTGTAGATTCAAACCTAGTTTCACGACAAATGGGTGAGTTCTTACGAATGTAGATGCCCAGGCCAAGCATGTGATTATTGGAGTCTTTACGAATTAAAGGAAGATAACCATCAACACTAAGATCACAAGATGGGACAGCCGAACTCAAATTAGTCTCACAAAGAGCAAGTAGGTCTGGTGAACTTTGCAAGAGATAAGACTCAACAGAAGAAAAGTTACTTCGAAGACCACGAATATTAGTAAATGATAGGTTTAGAGAACTTGGTGATGACGATGGAATTTGTGTTTTTTAGTTTTAGGTACTTTAGTCATTTTAAATTTATAAAGAACTTGACTCAAGTATAGATAGTACTCAGTACACTATTTAACAACTAAGCAATAGCCTCATTACTATTAATAAACCCTAAGCCGTAACAAAGGGCTCCAAATGTGGCCTCTGCAATGCACACCAAAAGTACAAACAGGGACACCATCCATGCGCAACATGGCACTGTTAGTACTCTGATATTTTTCGGCTGTTGATGGAATCAGCCTTTCTGAGAGCTACCACAGAGTTCGGGAAACCTGACTACCAGCCGGCCTCAGAACCATAAAACTGAGTTTTAGAGCTGTACCCTCATTAGGAGATAATAGAATGAGTTGCCCAGTCATAAAAATAGAGACACAAGCAATACCCACGCATTGAGTCAAGAAGATCCAGCGTTCAACATCCTAAACTGGAAACAATGTATTAAAAATACATCTGCGCCAGCCTAATAGGTGAGGAAGGGGTGCGAGGCTGGTCAACAGATAGAATCTGTTTACCCCTTAAGTCTTTGCCTAGGAGGCCTTCTACAAGACAGCAGCTGGATGCATGTAACATCTGCCCAAGATGAGTATTTTTATCGAGACACCATCTCTAACTTTGAAACAAAATTAAAATTTTTAAAAATATAAACTAAAATAATATGTGAAAAGATAAATTATCACAAAATGAAACAGTTTTTGAGATAACAAAAGTTCAAGTTAACCAGTGGTTAACTTGAATTGAAAACTGGGAAGTATTAGTAGCTTTTAAAAAACTGATAATAATTTATAGTTCTTTGTTGCTTTTTTTTTTTTACAGTTTATTAAATACCATTTTTAATAAATTAGTTTTACTGGTAATTTGAACAAGCAAATTTATTCAAAAACAAACTAATTAAAACATCTAAAAATGTTTTTCAGTAACAAACTTTTTTTGTCTAAAAGACGTTTGCTTAAACAGAGTGAATTATCTTTTTTTTTTATCAATAGGTAATTACATAGTACTAAAGTGGTATTTTACTTTAAATGCTCTAGATGTTTTTTGCTGTTTTTGTTTAAGTAAGTAAAATAAAACTCAACTTAAAAACTACATTAAGTTTAATAAAAGAATATTGAACTTTAGCATTAAAAAACTAGCATTTTGTGCAGACTTTATTTTGTCCGTGGGACTGAAATACACAGGTGTTAACGCAGTAATACATTATATTGATGTGTGCATCAATAGAAGTATAATTTTAAACTTGCATGATATAATTTATTACAAGACAATGTTTTTGTAACTCTTATAAAAGAAGTTATTCAACATTTTTATTTTGAATCAATACGTAATCGTTTAAAAAAAATTATAAACTATTAACATCCTTAATCATTTAAAATCATTTAAAATAAAAGATATTTTAAATTAACAAGAACTTATTTAACATTCTCAACAATGTTTCAAAAATTATTTAAGAAAAAAAATTCTTACTATTATTTCCATTTGTTATTTTAAAATCTTTGATAAAGCCATCCTGTTCAGTATTCCATGGATTTGCAGCATACACCAAAACATTAGAAAAAGATTGTGGCATTGTGTTTTCAATGCTAAAAATCATTAATTCATTAAAATACACAGTGTACATATAAGTTTCATTGAGTTGAGTTTGCGATATTTTTATGCTTGACCACTCATTCAGTGGCAGTGGTTTAGTATAGATGCAATAGTTTTTATTTCCATTAATTGCAGAAGTAATTTGCAATATACCTTGGCCATTATCATCTACAAATATAGCAGGAGTTCTTGATCCATATTCTTCAATATCCTTTCCAGTAGTCAAGTGAATAACACTTTTCCAATTTTGGGAAAATGTCTTTGGTTTTAATTTAAAAGAAACTGAATATTCTTTTTCAAGTAATGGTATGGATGTAATCAAGTTATCTTTGATTAAAATATGCCCTTCTACTTTTACCAAATCTACAGCTAAAACATTTTTTAATAAATTAAATAATATTTATATATAACATATAAATTGATATGTTTCTTGCTTATTAAAAACTATTTATTTACTTGTTAAAAAATTATTTCTTTCTTGGAAATTTTAATTTTTTTATTTTCAATGTATTTATTTGTAATTAATAAATATTTTAGTAAATAAAAAACTTTATAAATTATTTACCTCATTTATAATACTTTACCTTAAAATGAAAAAATAATAACCTGTTTTGAAAAAACTTGAAAACTATTACCAGGAAAATTTAGTTTAAAATATTAACGGGTTTTCTTTGATTTTTTTTTGTAAAATTAACTTTAAAAAAATTAATTTTTTTCAAAGTTAATTTTTTAAAGTTTAAACTTTATTAAAGAATTTATTATAAAACTAAATCTTTGGATTTTTTTTCTACAACTTTTTTTCTGATTTCTTTTTTTTTTCTGTTGCATTTTCATGTTAAAGCAGTTTCTGATATCATTTCTTCTTAAAATGTTAAATGTTAAAAGGTTCAATAAAATCTTTGTACAGAAGATATTACTTGTAAGCCCTTATTTTTCTCAATTTAACTTCTCTGATAAAATAGTATTTTTTTGGTTTAACTCACACTCTTTCTTTGCTTTATTTTGCTCTGCTAAACTGATTTGCTACTGTTGGATGATTTGTTAAGTAATTGTTTAAAATTATAGAATACTGAAGCATAATATTATCTCGTTATAGTTTATTTTGATTAAATTTTTGTAGTTATTAGGGTGCTTGCAAAAGACCTTCTCACAGAGCACTGCAGAAGAATATTTAGCTAGGAAGTTCACACTACCTTCTTTACCAATGTCACTTATTGGGCTAGAGCTGGCGCTGAAACTCGGGCCTCTGGGTTCTGAACCAGAGCTCTAACCACTGTGCCACATGCATTCATTGAATTATTAGATTCAATTGTGGTAGTGGTGTAGTGGTATAGTTCTGAGTTCGATTCCTACCACATCCCTGGTAGTACCACGCTTATCTTGTTTCTTTGTGCAGCAACCTTGTTCATCAATATTCGTGTTTCGGAGTTATAGAGTTGAGAGAGTGATAACCACAAGTAGCCTTCTCATCTGTAGTGGCCTTCTCGGCCTTGGGGAGGTGATTTAGCAAAAATAAAAAAAAATTAAAAAAAAATAATATTGCCTTTAGTTTTATTGGCTTATAACAAATTGCATTATCTTTTATGATGTGTGAAGAGGGTTTAAAAAAAACTTTCATGATTTACATTTTTTTACTTCATTAGGAGCAATTTTATCTTAATTAAAAAGATCTTTTTTGATAACTACAAAATTAATATTATTTTTTTTTGGTAATAAATACTGTTTTTTGTATAGATCCGAATTTTCTAAGAGCATTGTATATGTATAAAATGATTGCTTGATCAGTCTAATAGAGTCAAGTAGGTTTTGGACAAGCTGGCAATATAACTGAAAAAAATGTAATTTTGAAAAGTCAGGAAGGTATTAGAAGCTTTTGAAGACTAATACTTAACAAGTAGGTTCCTTAACTGCAGTGCTCCCCACTTCAGTCAAGCAAGATACTCAATTTTTTAAAATTGTTGTGACAACACTCTGTAACTTTAAACTAAAAACCTTGATTAACAAGCCCCTATAACATTTTAAAGTTATGTTACATATTGTAACGTAAACAGGATTTATTATGTCGTGTGCTAAATGTCTGTTATTTTTACGTAACATTTTACATAACAATACGTAACACTGTAACATAACGTTACATGCATAATGTCCGTTATTTTTACATATTCAAGACTTAACATTGTAACATAACGCTACATGAAAAACGTTATGTAACAACACGTAACATTTTGACCTAATGACACGTAACACCATCATCTATAGTATCTATCACTTTTTTTGTTTTTTGTTTTTTTATATGTACATTTATAAATATAAAGAGAGTGCAACTATATATGAAAAGAGTTATATGTAGAGAGAAAGAAGGAGGAAATAGTGAAGTCAAATCAGAAAGTGTAGACAGATATTGCAAACTATACACATATTTGGCATTGGCTAATTGATAAGTGTAATGAATTAGATTATTTCATAAGAAAGGTTGACATTTTGAACACATTTTTGCTTGTGGGTTAATAAAAACATGTAAAGTATTACGCTTGTAATACTTTACATGTTTTATTATTGACAAAAAAAAAAAAAAAACGTAATGTAACGTAACAAAATGGAGATATGAGATGTAGTTTAAATACATCTCAAATATAGATTTTTTATAAAGTTTTGTCAAATATAAAGTTTTGTTTTAGTCTATATACAAATATAAAGTTTTGTTTTAGTCTATACTTTTTATAAGTTGCACTTTCATAAGTTAAAATAAAATAATTGAAATGTAACTTTGCGAATTGAAACTTTTTATTTACAGTTAAAATAAAGGATGATAATTAGCTATTTATAAAAAAAATTAAAAGTTACAAATGTCTCGACAAACGCATTGTTAAATATTATAACTGATGAGTTACAGTATTTAAAGGAATTGTTTTATTTATAATATTATTTATATGCTTTATATATATTATTTATGTATTTGATTATTGAAAACGCAATAACACGTTTTTCAAAACTATTGTAATTAAAAAAAATTAAAAAAAAAATTAACCCACGCTTGTGGGTTTGTTTTTAAAAAAGACTTCCTAAAGGTAAATACAACTTTTAAAGCTTTAAAAGTTGTTTTTTTTACCTAAAACTAAAAAAGTACATTTATAAGTTAAAATAGCTAATGGTACTTAGGTAATCTAAGGTACTTTTTACCTTTAAAAGTGTAACCAACCAAGACATAGCATAACGCAATACATTTAAGAATTTAAATGTAATTAAAATGTTACAAATATAATTTTTTTTTTAACATTAAAAAAATCTATGTTTGAGATTTATTTTAGTTACGTCTCAAATCTAGATTGAGTTACGTTATGTTACGTCTCAACTGGTTACTCTTAAAAAGTTATAAAAATAAACAAATGAGACGCAATGTTGCGCATTTACACTTTTTTGTGTGTGTGTGACAAAGTAACAATTTGAGACGAAGCTATTTTACAATAAAATTAAAATAAAAGATAGTATATAGAATAACAGCAATAGTAAACAAACTATTACTGCATTATCAAGTTTATTTACTTAATGTTTGATTAAAAAATATAAAATGTAGCATTGTTACCAATTATAACCGATTGAGACATTACGTAACTTTAAAATGTTATAGGTTAAGGCCGCCACGAGGGAAAATAAGTTGAGAAATCATGGCTGTTTCATTCAATATAAAAGCAAGCCTGACGTCACAAGAATTTTTGTGTTTTTTTTAAAAAAAAAAAATTTCGGCATAAAAGGTATAAAAATTTACTAACTTTAAAATAATATAATTTTTTTTCTATAAAAAAAATTATAAAAAATTATATTATTTTTTCTTCTTCAAATTAAAAAAATATAAAAGGAATATCTTACTTTGTTTAATAAATATTTCTATTAGACGAAATAAAAATAAACATTGTTAAAATATTTTAAATGATTTGGGATCACTTTTGTGTTTTTGGCGATTTTAATGAAAAACCTGTCTTAGCCCAATCAAGATTTGATAACAGCTACATGGTTGATGGTTGAAATTTGGAACATTTATCCATGAATGTCTATTCTATCTGATTTTTGGTGATCGTAAATAATTTTTTTAGCAAAAATTAGTTTTTAATGCATTTATATTTTTGTTTTTATAACTTTTATATGTAAAATATAATTTTTTTGTAACAATCACCAAATAAACAAATTTTCAATCCTTTATGCACACGAAAATCCAAAAATTGTTATTTATACCTCTAGCTATGTTACCAAATATGTCTTTAAACTTGGCTGGTTTACAATATTTTGTCTATTTTTATGCGTATATTTTTGTTTACTTTTTAAAACAATCACGTGACCTTTAATATTTTACAAGTAAAAAAGTAGCAATTTGCTTTACTGACATAAATATTGCCTTTTTCAAATAAGAACCAAGTTTAAATAAATTTCTTTTTAAATTAAAGTGGTCTTACAATGTGTATATTTAATGATAATTATCTAAAATATATTTTTTTAATTTTTTTTTGATAAAAAGTTACAACAAATTACTAAAATTTAGCCAAGCTCATCATTTGGCGTATTTTATCTAAAATCGAAGAAAGTTTTTAATCATTCATTTAATGTCACATGGTAAAACATTTTATTGGTGTAATTATCCTTTTTACAGAACAAAATTATCTATAATATTAAAAAAATTTAAAAAGTTTTAGTAACACCTATTAAGAGGTTATTTTAAAAAAAAAACAAGAAGTCGTAAAGCTCACTTTGAAACAGCTGTGAAATAGAACAGTGGGGACTTTGATACTTACAAAGTGAGCTACTAATCCACTAGCATATGGTAAAATAATAATAACTTTACATAATGACATTAGAAAAAAAACTTTTTTTTCAAAAATCACCTCTTCTTCTATTCTTTAATGATAGTAAATCCAACTTTTTTATCTCTCTTCCTAACTGTATACATATGTATTATTATATGTATGTATGTATTAATATTAATTAATTACTAATAAAATATTTTTATATAACTAGTAAAAGAAATGAAATTATGAAATGCCTAAAAGATATTGTTCTAAAACTTTTTTAATATTATTCTATATGTAACAAACTCTGTGATAATCGAACTCAACACAAATTATCTTTTGAAAGCTGGAAATATGACTTTAAAGCAAAGATCCATGAAAGTTTTTTTTTCAATATTATTCTCCTTGACTAGTCTGATCCACAAATTAATATCAAAGGTGAAACAAGTATACAAACATTCTTTAATAACCTTATCTATTCGAAAATTAAAAATATATTAAAAATTTAGGGACCCTTTTGAAAATTTAAGGAGCTTGTATTTTTGTTTTTTTAATCATACCTAGTGAAAAAAATGGAAGATTTTTGGGTCCTAATGGCAAGATTTTTTTTTGGAGGGAGAGAAAGGAGGAAGGGGGGGTGGAAGTCAGACCCATTAGCCACAGCATGGCATGTTGAGTCTAAAAAGCGAAATAAAAGTTATTAACTATATAAAAGTTTATTACTTATACTATATAAAAGTTTCAAAAAAATATTTTTTATAAAAACACAAAATGATATTATTAGGTAAAATATTATTGCGTAAACATAGAATTACTTGAGCAGAAAACAAAATTGGTGCAATATTGTTTGTAGTTTTTGCTAACAATATAGTGCCAATATTACTTGCTGCTCATTATGAAATAAATATAACTAGCATGGAGCAATTTTATAGCACTATAAAAATAAGTATAGCCAAAGGCAATGTTAAATAGTATAAAGGTTTAAGGATAACCAAAGGCAATATTAAACTCATGGTTTAGTATTATGATTCTTTTTTTTTTTTAGCAACTTTACATTTAATATAGTTTGATCGTAGGAATAGTAAGACTGCCTTCTTCTAAATGACAAAATGTGATTTACTATTTTATTATGCCTATCGCCTACAATCTTAAGTGGTCTCATAAAATGTTTTCTTCTCATATTTTTTAGTCATATATATCAATAAGTTAAAAAATCTAACAGTAATAAGATTTTAAAAAGAACATTTTTTACACAATGTCTTTTTCAACGACCAAATTTATTTTGTTTCTATATAACATTCATGTATATTGAAAACACTGTGTCTGTAATTGAAATACTTTTTAATATTTTGACTCAACTTTTATTTTTTTTCCGATCTATATTTGTTGATCCCAAATATAAAAAGAAAGTCACTAAAACAAAAAGAAAGTCACTAAAACACAATCAAACAAGTTGAAATTTATTATTATTTGTTAGCTGAAACTATAATCTTTGCTTGGCTTATACGTTTGTGAACTTTTTATGTTAGTATCTATTATAAGTCGAGTTAGAAGAGAATTAAACTTGATTCAGTTACAAATAAGATCTGTTTTATTTTAGCTAAAAGTTTATATTATTAATGAATTTGTGATTCTTTTAACCATTTTTTCACTTTATTAGTAACTTCAATAAATTTATCATTAGATCCTAAGATCACATAACAAGAGATATTTCCAAGTAAGGATTTTGCCTTTTTTATATTGTAAACAGAAAATATGCTGTTTTTATATTGTGTGTATGTGTGTATATATATATATATATATATATATATATATATATATATATATATATATATATATATATATATATATATATATATATATATATATATATATATAATTTATATATTAGTGTCTCCCAAAAACACATTTTTTTATAAATTTTAATGTGCTCTCAACTGATCCCCATTCTATAAGTCCTAAATAGCTACAAAAATCTTATTTTAAACTTTTTAATGACTAGAAGTGATAAGTGCAAATTCTGAGTTTTACGGTTTTGTACACATATGTGTATTTACATAAAAACAGCGCTACCTAGTATTTCAATGTTTTAATATGATATAATAATTGGTACACAAATAATTCCCATAGGACATAATTAAAGATTAGCATCATTCTCTATGAACATTGTTAGTGATTGATATAACTCCCTCTGGATAATATTATTAGTTGGTATAATTCCCCATGGATTGGTTCACAAATAACTTTATTTAGAAATTTTTTTTGAAGAAAAAAATTTCTAAATGGAATTATTTGTGCACGAAGGAATTCTAACTTGTGCATGAAGAAATTCTTGTGTAAACAGTTATAAAAGCCATAACGGTAAACTTAGATAAAATATGATACAAGAGGGAATAACGACTTCATAGATTTTTGATGCAAATGTAAAATTTAGTATAAATTTAGTTTATACTAAATTTTACACTGATTATTTTGAAATTCATATAAAAATGGGTGGAACAGCTAAAAAAAACAGAAGATAATGGGACAGAATGAGAAAAAACAGAAAAAAACAGAAAGGTTGAGTTATATTTACCTATTGAAGTACCTACTGAGGGATTTACCTGAGACAGCTTCCGTCTAATAGTGATATTCTAAGATACTATCAATTTATCCTTTGCGAGTCACAGGTTAAATACAAACCCACTTCTACTAATGTTAGTTGCAATTTGAAATCGAAATCCAAGGATCTTGTTTGTGAAAATGGTGTTTGTACAGATCCTGATAATTCTTGCTCTGTAACTAGGATTAAAAAAACTTGGGATAATGCTGAGTTAGGAAAGAAATTTGTGATTTCTGGGTATAATATAAAGACCAAAATCATTAAACTTAATTTAAAATACAAGAAATTAATTAAATTGTCTTCTCTAAACTGGAACAGCAGCCTTGATAAGCAATCAAAGTTAGAGAAAGATTTTCTCACAGAATCCTATCAGTTTTTTGACATCTCGACTAAGAATTTTGAAAAAGATATTCTTGTTGATAGATTGGGAACAGATGACGCCAAGCTGGAAGATATAAAGTTCATTAAATAACACTTTTTTTAGTAGTGAGATTTTCTTTCCAATTTAAAGTAACTTAAGTAACAGCATATTATTTCCATTAAAATATTTACATTTAACTCTTTCCATGGATTGATCATCTTCCAAGAAAAACAAGAACAATTATTAATGTATTTATAAATGTCTTAATAAATTTAAATAATTATTAGTTTTTATGAGAACCAGAAGTTGGATAGTAAAGGATATATGGGAACAAAAGTCGATGGAGACTACAGTAGGAGAGTACTGGATGCAAACAGGAGAAAGAACAAGCTAGATAAGTTGAGAGAGAAAGAATTAGAGAGGCAGAAAAATGTAAAAGATATCAATGATGTTTTGTTGTCACATTACTTTATGACAGAAGAGATTCAATTCAGAGTAAGGAAAAAAAGTCAAACGAGGACTCTGAAATCAGCAAGGAAGAAGATTTCCTGGGTAACATTCGGAAATGCAGCTATAGTATTATTTTAATAACATAGTTGTAATTTTTACAAGCTAAAGCTGTTTTATTGAAAAGTGCATCATTGTAAATAGGTAGAAAAATATAATAAAATGATACCTATGTACAATTCTGGAAAGAGGATAAATCTAGCAGTGAATGTTGTAAAGCTCATTGAATGTACTGCTATTCCAGCAACAAGGTTTAATGTTGGTGTACAACCTCATCTGGCAATTTTAAGTGAAGTATTTAAAGCTGGAGGTATAGAAATTAATGATATACCGCTTTCACGAAGCACACTTCATAGAAAAAAGTTCAAATATCTACAACTTGAAGAAAACTTGAAGTGGATTTCAATAACTAATCATCTTAAAGGCCGACAGCTTATTCTTCATTTTGATACCAAACTATTGGAACAAAATACCACTGGGCTTAATATTATACAATAAAATTGAGCAACTTGCAGTACCAGTGAGTTCCCTGGATGACAATACCATGGAAGACCATCTTTTAGGTGTAGTTCAATAGCATTCTTCAAAGGGAGTTGACTAAGCAGAAAAAGTCCACAATCGCTTAGAAAATTATGGATGTAAAGAGCAGATCATTGGTATATGCTGTGATACAACTGCAAGCAATACAGGTGGAGTCAATGAAGCAGCCCAAATCCTTACAGATATTTTGAAATTACCAATGTTGTGAATAATGTGTAGGAGACACATTTATGAAGTACATGTATCTCATTATATGGCTGCTCTTACTGGTGAGAAAACTAATGATCCAAGAAGAGCTCTTTATGTCAAGCTAAAGAACAAGTGGCCTGAAATCTGTGAGAAAGTTAATGAAGTAAAAAATTTATGTAAATTGGACTGGCAAAGAGATGATCTGAAGATTGGCTCTGTTCTTTGCACAGTTACAGAGGAAGCTAAGTTATTTTTGACTAATGCAACTACTAATATGGTGTTTTCAAGGAATGATTATGGTATAGTTTGTACGCTTGCCTCCTTCTTCCTTGGAGCAGAAGTAGCTCTTGAGTTTAAAGAGCCAAATGAATTTCAGTGTTGTAAACCATCAATTGTACAAATTGGAGAGACCACAGAACTCAAAGTACAGAGGCTGAGTGGGTGGCACACCCTTGGGATATCATACTTTCAGTGCTTGGATATTCAAGCACTGAAAGTGGTATTATGTGTCTTTTAATAGTTTTTTAGCCAATCAAAATATTAATTTAAGTATGAATAAATTTAAGTATTATAGATTCTGGTCAATACTAAAATTTACTTTTTTTTAATTCAGGATTAATTATCTAATTTCTATGACTTTTTTATTACATACTTTACATAATATGTCATGCAAAAATTAAATGTATAAAAATAAAATTTTTATAAAGAAAGTAAAAAATCTTTTGTAATTTTAACAGATAAAAGTGAATTCTATTATTATTATTATGTTATGATGCATTTTTAGGTTACAATTAAAAATTATAATTTAATCAGCTACAAAACTAGCTTGCATTGGTGAAAATGATTTAATTAAATGTGAAGTAAACTAATCAAGCCAGAACAGATGGAGTTATTTGTTAAGTGGGCAAAATATGGGAACTCTAGCTTGCCTACCCTATAAAGGGTAATCAAAAGCTACAAGTACCCTATGTAGACTACTTGTAGGGTAGGGTACAAACAGGCTATAGCCTATTTGTATGAGCACCTCTCATAGATAAATTCATTGTTGTTGTTTTTTTTATTTATGGCATTTTGATTTTTCAGTGCTTGTTTATCTGAGTGATTTCAAAGTAAACAGTGCTGTCTCAGTGGATTCAATTTCTATTACTGCTTTTTAAAATCAATTTATTACTACTTAATATTTTTTGTAAACAAATAGATTCAAAAAACAAAAATAGAAACATGCTTACTGTCATTTCCATTTATAATTTTGAGATCTTTAATAAAACCAACTGCTCCTATCCACCACGGATCTGTCCCATATACATCGACATTTGAAAATATTTGTGGATTATTATTTACAACACTTGCTACAGTTTGTCCATTTAAATAAACTGTATATATATAACTTCCGTTATTTTGAACTTGTGATATTTGTACACTTGACCACTGATTGAGCGGTATTTTTGACGTATGTACAGCATAATCAAAATTGTTATTTATTTCAGAAGAAATGTACAATTCTCCTGCAGGTTCAATATATACAGAAGGAATTCTACATCCATAACATAAGTCTACTCCAGTGGTAAAATGAATAACATTTGAAAAGCCATTGTATGATATAGGTTTAAACTTAAAATACACTGAATACTCTTTTTGCAAATATTTTAATGTAGCAATTCGTCTGTTCATGTTCAACACTATAACTATTAAATATACAAATATATATCAATATATGATACATGATAGATAAATTTATATAATATAAATCCAATTTTTAAAATCCAACTAATATAGATGTGTGTGTGCGTGTGTGTATGTGTGAGTGTGTGTCTATATAAATAGAGATTTACACTAGATTTTTAGATGTTTGAGTTTTGATACTTATAGGCATTGTGCAAACTCCAAACTTTTGTATGTTCATGCTTATATCAAATTAGAATGTTTTGTAAAGAATTGCGGTGATTGAAGCTTGGAAACAAAACCCTAATTTTTGGACCCACCCAGCCCTTAACATGGGAGCAATGAGTTTTTAAATTATTTAATTTACTATATTTATCTAAATTTATACTCATCAACAAATTTCAAATTTCACGCAATAATTTCTTATTTTTCGAAAATTATGATCTTTTAAAGTTTTAACCCCCCCCCTCAATTTGAGGGGGCTCTAAACTTTTCAGGATCATAAATCTCTAAGAGATTAGGATTGGGTGGGGTAATTTGGGTATAAAAAGCACTTAATTGCAAATATTAAGTTATGCTACTTAACTTTCTTTGAAAAAAATAAAATCTATTTTTGTCCATCTTAGCATTGTGACCTTCTAGAATAGTTTTGTATAAGATTGGTGCTCATAAGCTTATTAATAAAAAAATTCAAACCGTTAGTTATAATATACTCAAATTAGCCCATGGATGGGGTAATTAGGGTATAATAAATGTTTTTTCAAGTAAAACATGCTTTTAACAGCTGTTATACCTAATTTACTTAACTTAGTTTGATTGTAGGTAGTATAAATAGAATATTAGATGCAATGAAAAAGTCGTATTAAAATTTTGTTTAATAATATTATTAAACATTAAAAATATTTAAAAAACATTCCATTAAAATCAGGAACAGGAAAATTTCTATGATCTTTTCTTTTTCAAATCTTTCTCCTGTTGAATGTTAAGATCCAATGCTGTAGGTAGTATTTTTAGTATTTGCCTTTTTTAGTATTTATCTTGTACATCTTTTTTTCTTTTTCTTGTTTCTTTTTACCTCAAGCTTTCTAGTAATTGATCAGTTGTAAGAACTTCTCCACAATTTCTTTGTGCCCTTCATCTCTTTGTCTTGGAATTTTTAAAGCTGTATGCACATCTTTAGGTTGATCAGGTGGAGGTGTAGTTATAATTGCATTTCTTACCTTTCTCATTGGTGATATCCTAGTAGATATTTGAATTGCTTAAGAATTTCATGACGCTTCCAATATTATTCAATTGATTAGTTTCCTGAGCTTGAGAAGTTTCAAGTTCAGGATTTGCTTGTGTTAAAATGTTGGATTGGTTTGAAACAATTTTATCTTCCGAATTGGATGAGTTCACTTGGTAAATACCAGATTCTTTAAAACCACCTATTATGTGATTAGATTTAAGACTTCAAGTTTCTTTGAAATACTCGGAAAAACAGATTTATCTATTTTGTAGATGTGACTCACAGTTTTATAAACATGATTCATGGTACCATGTCATCAATATATTTTTCCAATCATTTTTCATAGGAGCAAATCCACCAATGCCTAATGGTTAAAGAGCATGCTACGTATGAGGCGGTAAACATTAAAGTATAATGCCGTTATCCCTTGATGCACGGGGTACATTATAAATCAAGTGATTTCCATGTCCAATAATTATATTAAAACTGGCTTTTCAAGGTGTTTTATTTGTACTGTACACCACTATACTTAGAACACAGCTACAAAAAGAACACTGTACTGGAGTCTCCTGGCACATCCTGATTACCTTATCCCTTAATTTTTGTCTAAATTAAAGATTCTTTCTGGGTATTCATTCTATTCATTTCATCCAGAACATTTTAATAAGTTTTTAAAAATTCATCCACCACATATGTAGATAGCCCTTTGCCCCTTGCTTTAATCAGTAATTGAGACTTTTGCCTTGCAAGTTCTTCTTTCTGTTTTCTTTCAAAATTTATAATGAAGTCATAACAATGTGTGTCATTTTTAAATGATGTCCTCCTACCCGCTGACTGTACATAACTGTGCACCATATTTTGCAAATCTTTTCTGTCTAGTGAATATCCACAATTTGTTGTAAAAATTAAGGCATCTACTATGTATTCCTCTTCTTCTTTTGTTAATTCCTCTGCAAGCAGATGGGTTGGACTGGATTCACACACCATTGTCTCATACAGTTTCATACAGAATATTGTAATTTTTTTGCAGTTGCATACATCAATTTTCCGTTCTTAACAGCTTCTTTGGCTCTTTGTAGATCATTGCTACCATATTTAACAGGATTTTTTTTCACATATATGCTTGGTATAATCAAAAACAAAAAGTTAGGTTAGTTTTGAAGTTTATGGTAATTATATACATATTACCCTGAACTTTTAAATAATTAATATGAAAATAAATGATATCTCATTAGCCCAAATTAATAAAAAATTAAAGTATTAATAAGTAATGTATAAATACCTAATTTAGATAAAAAATATCTAAATGGAATAGCAAATGACAATGCTTTGATGTTATTGTTTTTATTTCAATGACATTTGTACATAAGCTATACAATTTTTAGAAGAGTCCTGGTCAGTGTTGCCAATATAACTTTGGTGATTGTATTTATGTTTTAGTTTTTTTTTATGTCTTTTATAAGTACATGTGCAACACATTTATGATTTTTATTTATCAATTTTATTTTATTTTTTTTTTTTTATCTGGGTATATAATTACTAATTTTTATACAGAAAGAATAATTTGTACCCAAATTGCCTCAAATTACCCAAATTACTCAAAATACTCAAATTACTATGACAGACCCTATTGAATAAAATTTGAAATTTATTGATGATAGTGAAATAGAAATATTTTATAAACTTTTTGTTAAAAAAAAATTAAAAATAGTGAAAAGAAAATATTTTATAAACTTTTTGTTCCCACATTAAAAGCTGGGTGGGCCTAATTGTTAGGGTTTTTGTTCCCAAGCTCCAATCACTGCAATTCTTTACAAAACATTTGCTTAAAACAAAATTAATATAAGCATGAACATGCAAAAGTTTGGAGTTTGCACAATGTCTGTAAGTGTCACAACTCAAAAATCTAAAAATCTAGTGTAAACCTCTGTGTGTGTATTTAGCTCTCGTCCACACTCCCCTAAAACAGTTTACGGGAGCAATTTACGGCTCTCGCAAAAGTATAACTTTACTCAGGAAAGTATAATTATCGTTGAAACTAAAATAAAAAACACAATGTCATTTAAAAAAAAATAAAAGAGAGCGCCAATTTGAATGAGGAGCAGCTCGCACATTCAAGTTCGTTTTGGGAGAGCTTTTCTCGGCTCTCTGCTCATTTGATTCCGCCGAGGCTTTTATATATATATATATATATATATATATATATATATATATATATATATATATATATATATATATATATATATATATATATATATATATATATATATATATATATATATATATATATATATATATATATACACACACACACGTTTAAATAAATATACAGACATACATATATATATATATATATATATATATATATATATATATATATATATATATATATATATATATATATATACACATTTATATTTATATACATACAAATATATATATATATATATATATATATATATATATATATATATATATATATATATATATATATATATATATATATATATATATATATATATATATATATATAAATATATCAAGCCTACCCGGAAAGCGAGTGCATTTGCACGCCTAGTTCACCCATATTTAAAGTAATTTTTTTAGACATCACGGCTGTTCGCATCTTTTGACTAATAAAACATTTCAATAACTTGCAGCAAAAAGCTAAACTTATCTACTAAGAAAAAAAAAAACAATCTTAAAAAAAGTAGACAAAATTGTATCGAAACATCAAGTATAATTAAATAAACTAGAAAATTTAATAATTAAAGATAATCAAAATTTAAAAATTTAATAACTAAAAATTAAGAAAAAATTTTTTTTTTAATAAAATTTTTATACCACTATAGAATTTTTTTTTTTAGAATCTTTGCTTAAAAAAGCATAATCTTTTTTAACGATTTAACAGCATTTGAAAGTTTCGATATGCAATTTATTCACGATTTTTATCAGCCCATTTAATTAAGAAACTAACTTGCTATGTATGGTAGAACTATGAGAAATTTTGTTAATTTTTTTTCTAAGGGGTCATCCATAAAGTGCATAGGCTCAAAAGTTGGAGGAGGGTCTTCAAATAGAGTATGAAAGTGTATTTTTAATTTAAAATTATGTACTTTGTTTTTCTAATTTATGACAATTAACAAGCTAACAAATAGAAAAATTAAAATTCTGACTAAAGATCCTAGTTTGTCAACATATAAGTATAGGAGAGTTTGGTATAGGAGAGTCGAGGGTATAGCTTCCCTCTATCATAAAGAGATTCCCTCTATCATAGAAAGAACTTGGGTTTGTAATCCCGGGATTCCGGCCTTTTTTTATAATCCCTAAATCCCGGGATTGTCTAATATCAATCCTGGGATTCCCTATATGATCGAGTAAAACAAAGGGAAGTCAAAAAATATATAAAAATAATAACAATTTATGCGCATCAATATAAAAATTTTTATTTTGTATAATATCGCAGAAAGTAATTCTATTTTCAGTTGTTCTGTTCTGTAATTCTGCAAAATAAACTTTTTTAAACTAAAAAAAAAATTCCCGTTTTTTTTCAAAGCAAGGTTTACTCTTAAAACTAAAACTTAAATAAGCATATGTTGAATTTACAATTAAAAGTAACTATTACAATTAAAAGTAAAACTAAAGGAAACATTTTCTACGAGGAGAGAAAGGGCAAACAGTGATGTATAAATTGCCAAACTGCAAAAAGATTTTAAAAATCTGTGGTGGTTTAACAAAAGGACTTCATATACACATGTTGTCGGTGCATAATGTGAAGGTCAAAAGTCCAACCCA